ATGTCCGGCGGTTTGGCTATCTGTGCGTTTGTTCGCATGTATGAACGTCAATATCTCGGAAAGTAGGTGAGGTAGGGTTAGTAAACTTTTGCGGGTTAATTCAGTACGTTTTTTAAAGTTATAGGTTTTCCACTTCCACAAGCCTGCGCTTTTGTCGAGTGCTTGAGATCTATATTTAAAATATGTCATATAAGTAGTAATCTTGAAAATTCTATTCAAGTCGAATGTTTAGTAAGAAACAAATATTGTACGATGTTTTGTCTAGACAATTAAGTAGGATATTTTGGGTATATTAGAACGTTTTGTGATAATCTTCATTTATCTGAAGCGGTACAAATTAACTGATCAGATTATGCATTAAGTGCTTCATCAATATAATCAATCAATGTAATGCCTCACAATAATCTCAATATTATCAAAATTTGTGCATCATGTATTTATATAATTAATTTGTGCCACAAAGTTTAGTTGAATGGTACGAGAATACAAGAGTTGGTCTGACGCTACTTAATTAATAATAATTCTGAATACTTTAATGGGAACGTCAATGGAAATGGATATTTTCCTGCAACAAGCAACAAGTTGCGAAAAAGTTCATAATTGTGAATTTTCTGTACACACTCTCAGAAAGTTTAAGAAAATTGAAAACAAAAAAATACAAATGATGTTCACAATAAATTATTAGTATTTCGAATTCAATTTGTTCCAGTTCAACTAGGCTCTTTCCAAATAATTGTAATACTAGCTTTTTAAGATTCACAAGTTGTAGCCTTCGATCTCAAAAGAACCAATACTAAGATATATTTTAGAAAATTTTTATAGAATACATTGATTTGTTTGCATGTACTTGTATATGACAAAATACGTAGTTTTGTTTTACTAGTTTACATAGTGCCCGTAAAAATTGAACTCCAAAAATTTATATACATTAAATAAATGTTTTTTAAATTATAAAATTTCTTGGTTTTTAGGTTCAATGTGATTTATGCCTCATATTTCTACTTATGGTTTAATTATTTATACATTAAATTATGGTCAAGTAATTGGGAAAAGTTTTGATCAAGATTGATCAGAATATTTTGGGGGTCAACATATTTATCAAAAATTGGTAAAATATTCACAAATTTTATTTATTATACAAAATAATAGCTTTAAGATTTATTTACTATTATTTGTTGTTTGGGGTTTAATTTTATTTAATTTTTTAATTTGTGTTATATCTAAATAGCTTATATATAGAGTGTGACATTGGAGATTAATTAATCTTTGGATATGGATAATTATTATTTGTAATTTTTAAAAATTAAGTATTTTATTTTTGCAATGACAATGTAAGGTTTTATTTTAAACAATATAAATAGAAGTATAAATGGAATTTAACCATTAACAGATAAAAGTTACCAGTTATTTCTTGATCAACATACTTACTTATTTCTCATTGGCAATGATAGACTTCTATTTTGGTTTCATTTGGAAAGAACAACCGTTCATAGGGTATATGAGTGAGTCGCGTCTATTCGGAATGCTTTTTATTTTTATTGATTTTTGCACTGTGTGTCAACTTTTTGCGATCGCAGCGCTGTGAACAAAGCCACAGAAGCCGACGGGTAAATATGCACAGTTTAATGAGGCATTAAATTGCATCAAGTCGGCTTTGGTTGTGCACTTTGTGCGTGGCTGCCAAAAGTTGCCACATGCCAATAAAGTGAGGCAGCAGAGGAGCGTACTTGGTTGGTGGGTGTGGGTGGCGTTGAAAAAACTCATGTAAAGGGCAGTCGGCAAAATTTAAGGGGCGGGCCAAAGGGAGGCGTTGTTTCTGCTGCTGACGTTGCCTGCCACGGCTGCTGAAAAACTTTGACGCCAAAAGCAGTAAGAAAACTAACAAAGTGCCCTAATGCAGCCAAGGGGCAATGCACAGCAGCACGACAAAGCCGTAGAGCCAGTGGCAGTGGCAGTGGCAGTGGCAGCGGCAGCGGCAGCTGAAGAAGCAATGCTCTGAGTGGGCAGATGCTTCAGGCAATGGAGGCGTTGATATGAAATGGGAGGGATGGTGACGCGTGTTGACGCATGTTGACGATGTTGGCAAATGTTGTTGTTGCTAATTTGCAATGCAAAAATATCCGAAAGTCTTAGACGGCGCTGTCAGCAAAAAGGACGAGACTGAGAGTGTTTCTTAAACGTGAGCACGACTTGCCTAAAGTAACCAACAACAACTATACCGAAATAAATCGATGTTTTTACTTGCATTTGGGATTCACAGAACGCAACTAAAGAGAAAACAAAAAAATAGACAAGAAAATAAATTCCCCACATGCTGTGATTCACGGCAGGCCGGTTATCTGTTGGCTGACATTTGACACGTGCCCATGATGTGGCGTCTATTATCAGACTGTCACAAAATAAATGTCCCCCTCCTTGACTGGGGTAGACTATAAAAGCGGGCTGGCATTGCATCTTAAGCATCAATCAAGTATTAACACTTATAAGCAACTCAACAAGATGTTTTTTAATATTCGCACTCTGCTGCTGCCGCTGCTTCTACTGGGTTTGGCGCTAACTGGCACTGTGACTGAGGCTAGTCTGCAACGTGGAAGAGTCTTTGATACCAGACCATCACCCTACAATCCCAACCCACCACGGCCCGGACCCTTCTAAACGGCACAGACTGTTCATCGTTGCTGCTCAAATGGCTCTTATTACATTTGTGTTTACAATTTAATGCGATTAAAGTAAACTGCAAATCAAAGGTGCTTGTTTAATTACATTATGAAGCAGGCAGACAACAAGGTGGCTTCGCGTTTCACCCGTTCAAGGGCACAACAAAGCACCTCATCGAAAATTTGCAAGTCAAAGTGTGGGTGGCGAGCGGGGCCATATTGTCGTATGACAATCTTTCTTTGTGTAGAGCCGACAGCTAAAAAGTGTCGAGGTCATCTGGCTCAATACTTGCCATATTGACGTGTCGATTCGTTTTCCATTTTTACACCGCTAGAAAAACGAAATTCCTCATCGAACGGAGCTTTCAGTTGCTCTATTCAGAGTCTAGGTGCGTTTTAAGGTTCATTTGCATGTTTTGTGTATTTGTTTTATTAAAATTTTTAGAAGTCTGCCACCTTAGCTTAGAAATTTAATGTAAAATAAAAAGTTTATAGATAGCTTCACAAAAAACAGCTAAGAATTGAAGGAGCTAATGCATTGCTTAGAAAAAATAGGCTAGGAGTCTTAACTTTTATTTGCATTGGAGCTTCTATTAGTTATACGATTAGGGCTGATGCTTTTAATATTTTTAAATTTTAATGCGATAATAGGAGTCTTAACTTTTATTTGCATTGGAGCTTATATTAGTTATACGATTAGGGCTGATGCTTTTAATATTTTTAAATTTTAATGCGATAATATTGGTTCTTTATTTTTCAACTAATATTAGTAGTGTATTTTGGACTGAGGTCGATTTTTTTTCCCATTCGGTTTTAACTAACGTGGCGATTTTCTTGGGCCCTTTTATTGATTGATTCTTAAATCGGCAAACATTTTACAGCCTTAGATGCTAACGGTTTATACAACAAGCCAGAAAGAAAATGTGAACATATTCTTCTTTTCGTTGCACGTTAATTAAGATTGGTGGACAAATATTTGAATCATACTGGTAAGTGGTTTAATTTAGAACAGACGCTTACGAGATCGCTTAAATGTTTATTTCAATGTAATTTGAAAGGAAAGATATATGTCTATAAAATGTGATTGAGCTAACACAATCCTTTATTAGCAGTTACTCTAGTGTGAACCTTTTAATTGAGCTGCTATGGTGATGTTTGTTGCTACATTAAAAAACTGAAAAACAATTGATTGGAATTCTGGAACACACAGCATTTGAATAAGGATATTTGCAAAATAACTGTAGTCCAAAATCTAAAACGAATATTGGCATTACAAAATCTAAGTTTGATTTAGGCTAGACGATAAAATATATTTGAAAAGCTTAACTAATTATCTCCCACCTTATTACCGATCATTATAGCCTGTACCCAAAGGGTGAAAGGCTATACTAGTTTTGTGCGCATGTATGTAACACACAGAAGGAGGCGTGGCAGACCCCACAAAGTATATATATTCTTGATCAGGATGAGAAGACGAGTCGATATAGCCATGTCCGTCTGTCCGTCTGACCGTCTGTCCGTCTGTCTGTATGAGCGCAAGGATCTCAGTAAGTACAAGAGCTAGGATAACCAAAATTGGTATCAAGGTTCCCTAGGCAGAACGAGTTTGTTTATTTTTTCTGATATACCCCCCCGCTCCCCCGCAATTCGTATTTTTTCTTATAACTTCCGTAATTCTCGGAATTTAAAAATCAATTTTGGTAGGTACATCCAGTTAGTACTAATGTGTCCGTGTGCCAAATTTCATCATGATTGGTCAATTCTGAAGAAAGTTATAGCCATAAGTAAAATCGCTGCTCATGCGCTGCCTGCTGCTCTGTCGGCAGCGCTGCCCGCAGCTGTTGTTGTTGTTTCTGCTTTTGTTCAACTTTGTGCTGCATACATACACGCATATAAACACGCATAGGTACGTGATGTAAATGTATGCTGTTTAAACTGAACATAAACATGTATTCTAATTTAATTTAATTTAATTAATTATTTTAATTAATTCATTCATTCATTTTTTTTAATAATTTAATTTTTTTTAATTTTTTTTTTTATTTTTATTTTTTTTTTTTTTTTAATTTTTCCTTTTTGTGGAGAGTACAGGCTATTTTACTGTCGGGCTTGCTCGACTGTAGCGTTCTATCTTGTTTTTAATAGCAATGTGATACCTTTTATTTTCTATTTTCTTATTTTGTTGTTGCTGTTGCTGTTGTTGTTGTTGTTGTTGTTGTTTCTTTGCTCGCATGCAAAATTTAGTGCGCGCAAACATTTCAATGAGCCCCAAACATACACACAGGCATACAGACCTGCATACAGACATGGCATTAAAACGCTCACTTTGCTTTCTATTTTCAGACGCGACGATCCAAAGCACTTGCAAAAATTAGCACCGCTCTATAACGAGCGAATAGCGGTCGTCTGTCTAAAAATATCGTCGAGTACGCGCGCGCCAATGCTCGTGACAGCTGATGTTGACAACAACAATGGTGACGTTATTGGCTGGATCGGACACGTCACGGATGCGGTATGAACTGGATGTCTGGCGACCAGCAAAATATTGAGCATACGCCGCATAGCATACAAACAACTAACAACAACAACAACAACAACAATTGTATACCCGTGTATAAAGTCAAAGATAATTAAAGGCAGTGATCGAAACAAATCCCACAACATTGAACTGCGCTAGGGAATACAGTCGTTTGGTTAGTTTGTCATTCTCTATTGATAACAACAACAACAACAACAAGAGGAAGAAGAAGAACAACAACAACAACATTAACAATATTAACAGCATCATGCGAAGCAGCAGGCGACAAAACATGAGAATGAGAATCGCTCGTAAGCACAGCAAGAAGAAAGAGAGGAAGCAACAAAAACAGAAATTGTGAAAGAAAATGAAAATGCTAAAGACTGTTGAGCCTCAGTCTAAATTCGTCGTCGATCGGCGTTAAATGCTCGTGGTGGGGCATGCACGTGTCTGTGTGCGAGTGTGCGTGCGTGTGTGTGTGTGTGTCTGTGCGGATGAGAAAGATCGCGAGAGCTGCTCGCATTGATCACTAAATAGCTGGCATATTTGCTACAAACATACATACGCGTATGTACATATATACATACATACGACATCGGCAATCGCCGCAGACTCTTAACAAACGTATTGTTGCTCGGGCGGCTGCAATCGAATCGAATTGAATCGAATCGAATCGAATCGAACGACCCTTCAAACTATTGCAAACAACATTACAACAAACGAAACGAAAAGTGCAAATGGTTGCTACAAGTAGATAAATAAATCAACAAAAGGAAAATAGCTATAAAAAGGTTACAGTGCAGTGAAAAATTGTCACAACAAACTCGAGTCAAGTGCGGGGCATAATAAATAAATACTATATACAAAAACAAATTGCAAGTGAATATGAAAGCACACACAACTACATCCAACATCGAGTGACAAAAATAAAATATGAAATATGCAAATGCATATGCATGCGAAATGAAATATATGCAAATAATAATTGCCAATTCAATTCCGTAACAATGCCAAGTGCAGGTTTAAGCAAAGGATTTTGTTTGAAAAGGCTACAGCTGCTGCTCATATAAAGGGTAAGTGGCCAGTCCTCAGTTCCTTTCCCATCATTTACAATTGAATTGAAAAATGTGCCTAAAAAGTAATTTGCCAGCAGCTTAAGTTCATTTAATTTTAATTGAAATGGCAAACCCCTACAGCTAGCAACCAGACAGTCAACGGTGTGTCTTTCTATCTGTCTACCTAATTAGCCAAATGTATCTACCCTCGTTTTTTTTGACTTTGTTAATACCCTTAGTGGGGGGAGGGCTGTCCAGTGAGGCGATGTCAAAAAGTTACGTTTTATCTTCATAAATATTTCTGCCTTGCTTTGTTGGGCGACACGGCGGCAAGAGGAGCTCTGTAAAAATCAAGCGGCAAAGCAAACCAAACCAAACCAAACCAAAACAAAACACGCACACATATTTGTGATGAAAACATGCCTGCCACAGGCAATCAAAATGGCGCACACAACCATATGTGTGTGTGTGTGTGTCTATGCCAGTGTGTAAGCGTTTTTGTTTCCTCTATGGGTATTTTTCGCAAATTGAGTTTTCGTCATTTTTTGCAGTTTTTTTTCTTCTTCTCTCTTTTTTTTTTTTGTTAGTGGAAGTTTCTGTGTTTACCGACGAATACTTTTTATATACATAGAAGTATATTCGTATTTTGTACCTGAACTTTTTCACCGTTTTGCGTTTGTTTTGTTTGTATTGTGTATAATATGAGTGGTTGGTTACTGCCTCATATTGACAGTGGTTGTTTGCCTTAGAATATTCATATCCTTACACATACACACACATACGAGTATACTAAGTATGTGGGAAGCTACATATGTCGGCGAGTGTCGTTCGCGTTTCAATAAGGGAATTATGAGGAATTACATATATGAATGAATGTGGAAAATGCCTGTTATGCTTTTATGTTCAATCTAACGCATTGTTTCGCACATAGGATTTTCTGAATAAGTGCGCGTGGGCGAGGTCTTAAGTGGGCTTACCATTAACAAAAGTACCCAATTATTCGCCCTCTGTTCGCTGCTAATTTGAGCAATAAGTAGCAATTTGATTGAGGATGGGCTTCAATTGGTTTACGGACTACTACTCATAAGCAACTCGTTTTGCTTGGAGGACTCCTTTATGCCTCACAGCTCCGCTGGTGGGGGAAGTTCAGTCTACCATTAAATGTAGAAAATATTCCCGCAAGTATGGACAAGAGCACAGCAATTCCGTAAATGCAAAGCTATTTGTTCAAGAATGACATAAAAACACACTGAAAGAATCCTTAAAAAAAAAAAAACAAATAAAACAAATGTGGTTTTTAGATCAACCGCAGTCAAAATACTCTATCCTTGATAACTAAAGCGTTTGCTGTGATTCACAAATGTGCCCAGAATGTAAGTAAAATAAACTGAGAGTGTATTTTTTGTTGCCCGTCTAGTAAGATATTCCTTGTGGTTCCATTAAAGGACTTCAAATGTAAACTTAATTGGTTTGATTCAGCTTGCATTAAAGTTATAGAAATTACTAAATTTTACAGGATCAAAAATATTTATCGAAATGTAAGCTCTATTTTAGTATATTTTCGCTTACAAAAATGTGAATTATATTTATTAAATTAGATAGTAAAGCACGTGTTGTCTTAATATTTTGTAAAGTCCATTCATTAACATCTAAGGAAATTGCTAAAACATTTGACAAAAATCAATATAATTGGTTTCCCTAAAAATAAACTATTCGGGTACATTTACAAGCAGCCAATAAAAAATTACCCGAGCACTTAATTTATTTTGAAAACCTTTTTCATTAGCAGCTGGTAAATAATAGTTCATCCCACGATGAAAAATGTTACTACATTGCACAATTTTAAAAATATCATTCAGATAAATAAAACTCCAGTGGTTTCTTTTTATATTTAAATAATTATTATACTATATTCCTTTGTTTTAACAACTCCTAGAAGTGTTGGTATTTAATGAAATCCTTGCTTATAATTATCCGAATAAACTGTCAGCAATAAAATTCCATATATTAACACTGCAACAGATATTGAAATTATCAAAATGCAGAACACGATGAATATTACGTTTGTTATCTTTCCATGTTGGCCATTATCAGCACCCTCCTGTATTTCCATATCCTTCACTAAACATTCAGTAGATCAGCAGAAAATAAAACTATTTAAATGATTTTGAAGTTAAAATCGAAGCACAAGAATAACTTCATATGAACAACTGGCATTAATTTTATGTAACACATAAAAACCTTTAATTTAAATATTGTGTAAAATATTCTTAGATTGAATTGCTTTGTTGGCTTATATTATTACTTTCGTAGCTAGTAGGTCCAATTAACGAGCCACAGAGCTACGGACCCAGCACTCTCCACAGTTCCTTGTTTTGAAAAAATAACAAAATGTCTTTTACAAGTATATTTAGTCACCTATTAGCAGACCATAAATCTTTTCGGGAGCATTTTAATGATGGTCGTTTTTATTCGTGTTCACACATGCAATAAAAATCCGCTTTATAGCCAACAAATATCATTCACACATGGCATTGGACCCTTTCGAGTGGATAGTGTATGAAACCAACAAAGAATTTAGTAAATGTTGTTTTCTTTTGTCCGATATGCAGGCCATGGTAACAACAAGATGCACAAGTTCATGTCAAATACACTAAGAAAAAGAGGATTCAAAAATTAACTTATTTCAAGTATATTTAAGTGCGCTATTTTATACTTGAATTATAAGTAAAACCGAGTTATAGATGTGTTGGTTTCTATTTCGATAATTGCTGGAAGCACAATAGACTACTTAATGACGCTTTGGTTCATGTCAGAACTCCTTTTAAAACGTGTTTCGTAATAGTTTTCCAAAACTAGGAACAATATTTTTTCTATGATAATGATTCGGTAATTTTTTTCAAACCGTTTTCCTGTGAATATTGATATTGTTTATAGAAAGGTATCTATTTATTTGGGTAATCTCTATCCTAGCGTTTCAAGTATTATGTTACTTTTAAAATAGTGCTCTAGAAATTAAGAAAAAGTCGTGTTACAAAAAAAATTGTTTAAAAATACATTGATCATATGTTATTTTGAAGCGTGCTTAATGGAATAAAGTCGTGCAACCATATATAAAATGTTTAATTTTCAAACCGTGTTAAATCAAAAGCGTGTACAAAAACCCGTGTAAAAACAGAATAAGGTGTAATTCTTATTTGTGTCGCAGAGTCATTGAAAGCCAGCTGGCTTTTACTCTTAAATGTTTCTTACAAATCGGGCATCCCAGTAGGTCTATAATTGTTTGTCTACTTTTCTTTCAGTGCATGTACATGCTATGTGTTTATGTTGTTACGAATGTACAAGAACACATACAAGAAAGAAGAAACATTGCATTTTGGCATGGATATGAGGTATGGGCTATGGGCTATGGGGTATGGGGTATAGGCATGAGTATGCCACTCACCAACATCGGTGCTTTGCAACAGCATCTAATTATGCCAGCGCTTTTCTTTCTTTCTCTCTCTCTCTCTCCCTGTCCCTCTCTCTGCCGCTCCGCTGACTGTCTATTTACCTTCACATTGCATCGAGCGACCGCCAGCGGCACGACACGGACCCGTGCCCGCCACTGCCTTGACAATGCACTTGAATCAAGTTGCTTCCTTCATTTTCATGCGCCGCTTGCTGCTCTCGCTTTGGGACACTTTGTAAGTGTAACCCGGTCGTCTTGTAAATGTGTTGTTGATATTATTGCCGTTGTTGTCGTTGTTGTTGTTGTCGTTGTCGCCGTACCGCCGTGCCAATCTTTTCAGTTGGCTCTTGGCTGGGTTGCAACACACTGCAAGATGCCAAGTTGCCGAATTGGTCGGTGGTGGCGGCAGCTGAGTCAGGCACGGATGCAGATTGTTGGGCCTTCAGGGGAGTGCGGGGGACTAGCGAGCAGCTAGCAGACGCAAAAGAATGCGACCAAAGTGCTGCCTAGCCTGTTTGTTTATTTATAACAATTTTCTGTTTGCTGCTGTTGCCTCTACACTGCTCTGCAACTGTTGTGGCTGTTGCTGTTGCTGTTGCTGCTTGCTACTTCCTCATTATTTTATTTTCATTCTGTTGCTGTTTGCTCGCGTTTAAAAATGTTGTTGCCTTTTCTTGTAGAGGGGCACGGCCAGACGACCTTCTGAAGAGTGTACAGGCGGCAGCAATGATAAGTTGCTTAAGTCTGCTAGATTTCATTGTTTGGAGTCCTTTGTGTTTATGAGTGGGTGTGGGTGTGTGTGTGTGTGGGTGTGGGTGTGTGCGTGTGACTGCGGATGTGTGCAAAATGGCCGCCTCTCAATCCTAGTCTGGGGCACTTCAACTCGTTGCCCCATTGTTTTTGTTGTTAATTAATTTTATATTGTTGCCGTTGCACTTTTATGGCAGAAAATGATGAAAGGCTCGTGGCAGCTGTGTTGACGGAAATAAGTTGTTGTTGCCTTTGTTGCTCTCGCTGCTGCCGTTCGCAATTTATGTTTCTGCCATGCACAGATATTTTTTAAATGTATGGGTGCCAGTCTGTTAGTGCGTGCATGGGAACTGACAACTTTTGGCAGTTGGTTGCATTTATATTTCATGTTTTTATATTTTATTAAGAACATTTTTTAAATATGCATAAGGCCCGAAAATCTTTAACTTATGGGTATTTCTGCAACGTCTTTTTTTTTGTATTCGGCAAAAAGGCAGCCTGAGGTCGCACTATCTAAGCCATAAAGTCCCTCAAGAGCGAACATAGAACGGTTGCCCAGGCATTTGCGAGCATGTCTAATTATTTTGCTTACACATTTTCTTTTAAAGGATGAGTTCTACAACGAAGGCAAGTTGCCAAACAATACGTGCTTTGTTATTGGATAATGAAATTATTAATTACAAACAAACCTTATAATCGTGATTTAAAATAAATGGGTAGAAGGTTATAGTCGTTATAGGGTTTCAACTTAAATAGACTTGGTTGTACCATCATCTTCATTCCTATGCACCGACCAGCCCAATGGCAGCTATACTTATAAAATATTGAGGCAGCAAACTTACTCTGTTTTTATATATATATAAGTTTACATTCCAAGTTTGGTGTCCGTGGCTTTTATGGTTCAAAAGTTCTCGCTGTTCATACAAACGGAGAGACTACATGCTTTTTTGTTTATGAAGATATCGCCACTCTTTGTTATATAGTACTTCTAGTATACGAGTTTTGTAATGCCTCTTGATATTCTGAAGTTTATTCAAATTCGGTGCACTAGCCATAGCTTCCATGCAAAAATCAATCTTAGTAACAACAGCTATTAAGCTCATTACTTTTCCAAAATTGGAATCTAAGAACTTTTATCAAAAAGCTTCCATTAAAACGATTTGTGGTGGGTACAGGACATACAAGGCGCGCCTTTAATGTTTTACTCGTTTTTACATTATTAATTAGCAAAAAAAATCGTACAGTTTGAACCATAGGCCAAATGTTTTAAATTTTAGATACACGAGTACTTTAAAGCCCTGCACCCAAATATTAATGGCTTATTAAGTTTCTTGAATCCTTTTCAAAGACTTTTTGTAGCTGCCAATTAACAAGTGGTTTTATTTAGGTACGTTGATATCTTACACCTCAATTGAATACAAAGATCAAAAGGTATTGTAGACTATTAAGACATTGCGGAGAACGTTCTTTAAGAACACTTCAATAAATTCTTAATTCATTTATGTAATGATATTTAATTGTCCAATATTGACGGTGCTCTGCAATCGCTTGGAATTTTATTTGTTTCCGGCCAGCCGATCGGGACGTTAAGACGACGATTTTCCTTTTGGAGCCACTGAAACAACGGTTCAAAGTAATCTAGGAGGGCATATGGATTCATATCTGTTTCGCCAGTCAATTCTTGCAGTGTCTTCTTCCAATGCTGCGATTTTCCCAAGGATAGAAATTGTTTAAAGGCTTTGCCAGCCTCCTTGCTGCCAAAGATGTCGCAGTTGTCGAGCATCGGGTCATATTTGTTAGGGCTATTATGTCCAGCCAGACGACATAGGGCCTTGTGCATTTGAAATTGTAAAAAATCGGCAGTGAAGTAACGCATATATTCCACATCCGCAGTAATGTGGAATTTGGAAGGTGGGTCGAAATCACTATTACTACGATATATGGGCGGCTCCAGTCCTCCTAACTCTGAGCGCATTTTCCAAAATGCGCAATTCCAGTCCGACTCTTTGATTTGTCCACGGAACAGAGCAAACCGATATTTATCTATAGTGTAGGCAAAGGGGAGGAACACAATTTTGGTCACTGCTTTTTTGAACAACTCGTTGATACGAGTGCGCTCATCCAGTTTTCCTATTTGGCTTAGTCCAATCGCCTTCAAATGCTTGGCTGACATCACCGACAAAGTGACAGCATCGCCAATGGCCTCATGGAAGCCAGGATTGGCCGCGTCTCTAAATACCGCCGGCAGTTTATCATACTGCAAAGCGTATTGAAGGTGTCCGAGCTCATGATGAATAGTCGATAAATATTTTGTGGAGACTTCTGAGCACATTGCAACGCGCACATCGTTATCCTGATAAAAGTCCCAAGCAGACGCATGACACACCACTTCACGGTCCTTGGGGCGTGTTTTCATACTCAAGTTCCAGAAGCTGGGCGGTAAAGCCCGCATACCCAGCGATTTAAAGAATTCATCAGCCAGCTCGAACATCTTATGAACGCTGTACCCTTGCCGCTTCATTTCCTCAGTTAAATCTACGAACTTTTGCTCGGGATAGGGCGTAATTAGCTCAATGACATTGGTCCAGGTTTGAGCCCACATATTGCCCAGCAGGTGCATAGGAATATTGCCCCCCGCAGGTATCAGTTCGGCGCCATAGTGTTGACGCAGACGATACCGCACATAGCCATGGATTTGACGATAAAGGGGCAATAACCTGTGATATAAGTTATCGAACTGTTTCTCAAACCCCGGATCTTCGTAGAAGTGTAGCCAGTAATCAGCATAAGAGGCATAACCGTAAAGCTGTGCCGCTTTCCTCGACAAACGCACATACTTTGCATAGTTGTTCCGCATCGGGGTTCCTGATTTGTTGTACCACTCGCTCCAATACCAGGCCAGCTCATCCGCATCACGACTGTGAGCAAAACGCTCCTGCACATCTGGCTCCAGTGTGAGCTTACAATTAGTACGATTGGTGTAGGAGCAGACTGTGGTTGTAGCGTAGTGGGACTTCATGGCAGATATGGCGCTCTGTACCTCCAGATAGTCATCCTCATTCAGCGCTTCTAAGCCCAAGTTGGTTAGCCAGCGTGCTTGTCTGCGAATATTGGCATTCCTGCTTTTCTCATAGCCCGCCCTTTTGATGGTTTCAGCCAGCAGTTTGTTCTTCTTTGCATTGAAAGCCAGCACTGCAACCATTTTCTGCTCATTTGCCTCCGTCACATTAGTGTTGTACGCAAAGGAAGCCAAGTTCTCCTCATGATAACGCTTGCGGAGTAGTTCATTTTCCTTTTCAAAAAATTGCAGTTCTTCGGGCGTTGGCTCCGCCGAGTCGGCTCCAGACGTTAGTGTGCTTTCGGGAGCTGCTAGAGCTCGAGAAAACCAAAAGAAAATCAAAAGCGCCCACAAAAAACTGAACACAATATTGGAACACATATCACCAGACTTTAAACTGCAAATGCCAGTTCGCCGGATCGATCCCCAACTCGAAGTTGTCGTATCTTTTGCACTTTTAATTTTCATTCGATCCGTCAATTAGTTTTGTTTTCTTTCTTTTGCTTTTGCTCTTCACGCCTTTGTCTTTGTTCCATGAACAATCTAATTTTAAACATACGTCTATCGTTTGTATGGAAACAAAACAACGCCCGTTAAATGTAATGTTGAAACACTCATTTAGCTTTCACTTTTCTAAATGGCAACTTCTTCTGCAGGGCTTAAGTCTTAGTTCCATCTTTTGTATTTTCTATATAAGCTTAATTAGCCGTGAAGTAGAATATCATTTCCTCCTCTACTTATTTTTTTTTTTTTGAGTTTGTTGGCTGGCCAAATGGCAGTACAGTTTTGTCTTAGGTTTTCCTATCTTTTAAGTTAACATTATAAATATGTATCGACAGCACTATTTGTTGATTTATTAAATAAATAAATAAAGTCGCCGTGACAGCCCATTCAAGATCTAATTATGCCTTAATTATAATTAATTAATTAGAATCTAATGTAATGCAAGGAAAAAATTAGAATTTGGTAATGACTTCACTTCAAACGAAGTAACTGTAAGCAGCTTAGTTTTAAGCGAGATTTACTCAAGTTTAGTAATTTACTTGTAGAAAAAGCTTACAAATATTTTAATTGAACACCTTTCATATAATTTGCTGCTATTCATACATACTTGTACATATATCGCTGCTATGGCTTTTACACGACTATTGCAGCGTGTTCGTTTCCCCCAGTTTGTATTTAAATTTATTCCTGTTTAAAATTATTATTATAACTGTTTAAACCTTTATATATCCATTCAAATCTATTTATTCGTCTTCAAAGTAATGCCTTGTGTCAGAAAAACAACACAAACTTGTAATAAAATAATATAAAATAAAATCTAAGCTGACATCGACTCGTTTCATGATCCTGTTCAAGATTATATACACTTTGTGTGAACAGATTTCTCCCTATCGAAAAATCCCCTTGACTTGAATTTCAATTTCTGGACCACATTTGTACACAGCAGTACTTCTTTAAGATAGTAATTGGATTAGAAATTGTGGGTGGACATAAATTGCCTCTGAAAGTTGATAAAAAAATATGAAAAATATTTTGTAAAATATATTAGCTGAATTGAGCTCAGCAGATTTAACATATTAAAACAATATACATTGACAATGCTTGGAACGCAAATATGTGGTTCTTACTGTAGTTCACGACTTATAAATAAAAACAAACGATTGCTGGCACTAATCTTAATAGCTTAGAGCTTTATATATACCTAAATTATTTTAATTTTTCCCCACATACAAAGCACAAAGTCGTGGCGAGGTTTGAAAATACAATTTGTGAGGTGTCTCATAATTATGGTAAGCACCTTAGCTTAGAGCTTTATACGAGTTCATATACATACATATATATATTATCTACAAGATGATTGCTGACAATAAAAAATGTACAGGGATACGCATACATACTTAGTATTCGTTTTTGCTGGCACATCTCTACATGGGAGCCATTGTTACCTCGTTACTTTAATCAAATGACTAAAAATATTTACCGAAGAAGTAAGTACTTCAGCAGCTCGCTCGTTGGGGAAATTGTGCTGCAATTTGTACGTTTTGTACGTTTTGCGCATGAAGGTGCGCTTATGGCGCCATTACGAGTATTTGTGGCACCCCCCCTCCCCCCACCACCCCTCCTGCCACACGCACACCTCAGGCCGGTGTGGGTCTGGTTGATAGATCAATGTTGACAGCTTTAACGAGCTGGTAAAGTGCAGCAAAACAATTCAATTACCGTCGTGTGGCAACTGTCAACTTACATGGCAACGCAAAGAGCCGAGCTGTAGGGCGAAAATATTTACATGTACACACAGATACACAAATACACACACACACACACACACACACACATACAAAGGTACATCCCACGCTTAATATCGGCATCTACAATGTACACGGAGTGCTGTTGGTGTTCGTTCTGTGGCTGTTGCTGGGCTTTCCTGCGGTGCCTGGGATTTGTTGCACAGCCACGAGGGCCCCAAACCTGATGCATTTCTTGCTTTCAATTAAGTAAACGTAATTATTTATGAGACCCCCCCTCCCCCAAACCATATGCGCCTGCTTACCCGCCATTGCCGAGCAACGGATTCACAGACTCGCCAACTTCCAGCCAATAAATAATTCAGGTCGAATTAAATCGCGTGATTTCTTTTATATCTAGCCATCGCACTCTAAAATGTGTTCATGATTTATGATGCGTTTATTTATTAATGCATTTTCGTCGCTCTGGGGGCAATATAGTATGTACTCGTATTATAGTATGCTATTATTACTCTTTTAATTTTTTTTTTTTTTTGCACGCCTCTACACTGAATGTAAGCGGAGGCTAAAGTTGCTTTAGGAATTGGTTCCGCCTGCGTCGCCCTTGCCGCCATTGTAGCTCATCGGACAAGGTCTGTCAGCTTATGACAATATAAATTTAATCAGTACGGCATATATTGTACACAGCACACAGCACACACACAAACACACATACACACATATATATCACGTATTTGCTCGTATCTGTGTGCAGCTGTATCTGTATCTGTAGCGTGCTGCTTGCTGCGTGCGCGAAAGCGTTTAATGCATTTCAATGCCGTCAATTTGCTGGCTGGTGGCCAGAGTTCGTGCGTGATTCGCTTAAGAGCTTGCCAAGCATTTACCTACACCTTGCCATGCACTACTTACCCCACAGTGAGCGGCTATGGACCTAGCCCCCATACCACTAGTTATCCTCGCACAATGCAAACGTGTTTTCATTCAATTTCCCCCAAGTGCTGTACTCTTCGTTGATGTCGAAGGATATACTTGTAAGATATAGATATTTTTGCGTTTTATATTTTATATTGGATATTTAGTTTACCCTCCTTTTTTACTGCCGAGTGCTTCGCCCAGCGCCTATCTACCCATTGGGGCGTAGGACTTACTCTGCAGTTAGCTCCTGTTGTTCCAAGCTCTATACCATGAATTACTGGTGGCTTGCTAGTCGATGGGCCGATGCTTTTTCTTTTTCTTTTTCTTTTGATTGAGATTTTTTATTATACAAAGCGCTCTAAGTCAAAATATATTTACAAGTTAGAGCACTAGAGAGTACCATATATTTTTAACAATTTATTGTCTAACTAGCGTCCTGCCCCTGCTTTGCACGGGTATTAGACAATCATTTTAAATTAATTATAAATTTTATAACACTCCCACACATAAGTACACCCGTCTTTTTGCCGTCTGGATAGTAATATTTTAATTTTTTTTGTTGTGCTTTTTTGATTTTTTTTTGTTATTTTTGATTGAGTCAGAGGTTCTCTGTAAATGATATTTGATGTTTTTTTATTTAATGGCAAAATAAATGATGGGGGTCGATCGTAGGGCGATAATAATTCGAAAATTTGGACTTGGGACTTGAACACGAAAGATGTTTTTACCGGAAATTAAAGCCATATAAATGATCATCGTGGGATCATCGGTATCCTCGGTATATGAGGTAGTTGACCAGCTGCTTAGAAGGGCTTAGATTTCTGAAAAGCATGATTGGAATTACGATTTTTAGCTTCAATTTATTTGACAATTGGCCAGCAGGTTTTATTGAATTTAAAAATCCTTGTAGGTGATGGACTGTATCTTCGATATTATTCACGGTGTCGATCGATTTGCAGTTTTTTATTTGGCTGGGGAAAAAATTGCCTTGATATTTAAAGCGACATGAAGTTTCAATGATAATTCTAAACTAACAGCATCCTGTTCAGGATTTTTTTAGGACATTTTTTTACACTTTCAACTAGATTATTGGGGTTCTACAAATGAGTGCCCTATCTTTATAATATAATATAGTATAGCCTATGTCGGGGAGAGTGTAGCTTCGCAACAGTGAAAGAATCCTTTAAAACAAAGAAACAAGCAATCACATCTTTCTTCTTTATAATATTAGTATAGATACATATACAAAGTTGTTATCTGGCAAGATAGTTAGGGCTGCCGCTCATTTATACATAGAATCATTACTTGTTTCGTGAAAAGAACTAGTACCTCCACTAGTCCTGATACCTGTGTGTACACACAGTGCAATCGAATGTGTATTTATGTAGATACTATATCACTATACAGTGGATTGTTCTGCCATATTTATTGGCATTTATTTCGTGCACAACATTAATTGTGAATGTTTAACTACAGATTACAATGAAGTTAATGCTGCCTTAATAAATTATTCACATTTAATTAATATTGGCCATAAATTGGTTTGTAATTAGCGCATAAATGTCAATGGCTAATAAACTCGCATGAAGCGGCCAAGTGTTGTAAGCGTTGCATGTGGGCCAGGAGTAATTTGATTTAACCCCAATGGCCGCAGACACGCGCATTAACACGCACAGTCGGTGCTGTCATTGCCAATTTGAGTTAATGTGTTAGCTATGAGCCATGAATGGATGATCAGCTGTGCCGACCTGGTCACTAACCTGGTCACATACATACAAGTATGTACATACTCCTAGTCCCGCTTCACCTTAACTCCTAGGTTGCAGACGCCCCAAAAAGTTATGCCATTTGCCAAGTTGTTGTTTGTTGCCTTCTTGTACAAAGTTTGTTTAATGCGTGCTTTTTGATGCCCTCGTAAAGATATTGATGTCTCCGCATCCTCATCCTCAGCCATGGACCCATTCACCCATTGCTGCAGTTGTGCTGCAGAGCTTTTGTATAACTTTTGCTCGACTGATTTCTCATGTTGAACAAAATTTGTTAGGCCAGGAAGGGACACGTGCCAAATGGATAAATACAATATGTACATATGTTTCTTTCTCATGGGAGACTGACTACTCAACGTAACGCACAAAGAATAATCCAATTCTTATTATTTACTCTCTTTTCAGATATTTCCAGCATGCAACGCTCTAAATGACGACACGACCCAAGAAGTTTGAACTCGTTTTGTGATACTTTTAAATAACAGGAAGTACGTTAAGGCCCAGTCACGTAGTTATATATTTTTATGTGTATATGTGTAGTACGATTTTAATTTAATTTACGTAAAACTTTTCGGTTCGTTCAGTTGCATTAGCCAGCCCCAAAGACAACAAAAACAAGAATATAAAAGACATTTGCATAAGCACTGATACTGTTACTGATACTGATACTGATACTGCTACTTGAACTGATAATCGAACTGACCCCCTTGCAAAAGACATAACTCCCCACTCATCTGAACGCTTCAGCTAACCACCAAGCGCGATTTGTAGTTCTTAGAGAGTCGTCACCATGTCACATGGGGACCGAGAGGAATGTACGTAATATACCCAGCCGATGATCTCATCTTGATGACATATGGTTACTTTGCACCACGCGTGAAACCACGACCCTCACTCGACTGCCTGCGTGAGCCACTCGTGCCTATTGAGTATCCAGTTTCCAGAACCAACGCCAACACCAACGCCAACACCAACGCCAACACCAACGCCACCGCCAACAGCAACAGAAGTAACTACAATCCAGACGTATCGTCGTTCACGAATTTATTGCAGCAGCAATCAGAGTTCGATCCACAACCACCTGTAGGCTCCACGCCCAATTCGCCGCACCACCTGCCATCGCCAGTACATACCACAGTCTTCCCATTCGACGCACAGCCACCACCACCGCAGCCGCCGCCACAGCTACTGTCGCAGAGTTTGCCGCCAACGCCCACACGTCGCACCTCACGTGCCTCACTCACGCACTCGAACAACTCGAACCAATCGAATCCGACCTCGGCCAAGCGCTCCAGCATACGCAGCAGGCGCTCCAATCCACCAACACCGCCTCTAAATCACCAGCGAAAGCTTAGCTCGCCAAAATCGACGCCAACGTCTGCGCAACTTTCACAATCGTTTGCAGGATTGCGTGTCACGCCGCTGTCCACACCACCACCAATGTATAATGACGCGAACACGCGCACTGGCAGGGGTGGCAGCAGCGGACGCGCACCTTTGGAACGACACAGCGCCTATGATGATAGTTTAGGTGCTGGCGCTATTGGAGGAGTGGGAGCCGGCGGTTCCTTTGAGTATCCAAGCGGGGCGCTCGTGAGCGCTCGGGATCGCAGCCCCAGCATATTTCTTGAGCCCCCCTCGCCAGACCCCACACATGCACACTTCGGCCCTGGTTGGGGGCGACCCATGTCGCCCATGGACCTGCCACCAGAACCTCCCTCAGCAACTACAAAATCGCCAGCGAGCAAATCGCGATTGCGTCCCAAGCTTCACATACCGCTCGGCCGGCTGGGCCGTTCCACCTCCTCGGACACACGGGAGTCAAATCGCCTGCGTGAAGACGTGCATGTGCATGTCGAGAATCCCGTGTTCAGTAGCGAGAACCTGCGCCAGAACAACTTCGATGCATTCTTTGAGGCACGCGAGCCCGTCATCAAGGTTCAACCGAAAACGCCAAGCACAACATCACCGGATGGCCGGAGCTACTCCCCGCCCCTTGATAACTATGCGGGTGTCTACGACTCACCCAAGTCCCGTAGTCGTGGCGCGACGGGTGGCGGCGGTTTATTTGCTCGCTCGCCTAGGGAGGAGCGTGGGCGAGCGCTCGCCGAACACTCCCGCAGTGCGGACCAGTATGATGGGCCACGAGAGATGCGTGGCGGTTCAGTCAGCGCGGATGGTGGGCGTGGAGGAGGAGGGGCAGGTGGCGCGGCTGGTGGTAGTGGTGGGGCGTCCTCCAAAGGTGACAGGTGCCTCCAACTTATATTCTTGCACTCTAATCAAATTGTTTACAGTTTTTTGCTGCTGCGCGGCTTGAAGCGAACTGCAAATATGTAGAAAGCCTCGCGAAACAGAGTTTGATTCCATGACTGATTTAAATACTATTATTAAACACTAGGCAACAACAATTCTCTCACCAAACACCACTTTACCTTTGAGCACCTGGTGTGCCTTTGAACATTAAGTACATTTTTATAAACTTTCGCCAAAAGGGTTAACGGGTGTACGAGCTTTAAGTCGGTAAGGGTAACATCAACAATTAAGAACGATCACGAAACTCAATCTAAATATTAAGTGTTAGACGTGAATACCATCCAGCAATACTTTCAAAACGTGCAAAGGAACGCAGCTATTATCTGAATGCAACTTTTCAGTTGTGAAGCTAATTTCGTTTATTAAACTAGCTGTATTGTTCAGTTTTTCTAGTATAGTGTTTTGCATAGATATGGCAGATATTTCCGGGGCTTCATTTAAGAGCAATGCTCTAAAAATTTCTCAGTTTTGTTTCTCACTTTGCTTAATCATTTTTGGAGCAAATTTAATAGAAGCGGAAAAATATTATTCCATGGGATTTTCTTCTCCTTTTAAGAGGGGATACAATATCTATATAAAGGAAGAAAATAGTGAACTTGGCTTAGTAATTTCCTGAAAGTCTGACATAGAACTACTCCTATTTGACCAGCCTCCAATAAATATTTTGCATTAAGTAAGACCAAAGCAATTTAACTCCAAAAAAGTTAATCAGACTTGCTCATAAATATGAAGTTATTTGCTGTGATTGCATTTGATTTTTCAAAATAAACTCAAAGTATATAGACAGTTGCAATTTGAACTTAAGAAAAACTGCTTAGCTAAGTGCTTCTACAAGTATATACCTATTGATATATGTATTTCCATTTCGTGGCTGCTTTCTACAGATATACTTATATTACATCCTATTATAGATATCTTATTACCATAAGCTTTTAGGGGGGCATAAAAAAAAAGTTTTTTAATGCGAAAATTGATGGAGCTGTTAAGGAACATTTTATAGCAGGGAAGTGGGAGTGGAAGTGGCCACTAACGTGGCATGTATTTACTTTTTATAGATTGCAATATCCTGACGTTTGTCAAGGTGGGGCGCGAATAGACGGACACTCAGCTACCATGCACTTAGCGGACAGCTCGAATTCTAAGTAAAAACAGTCAGAAACATGTTCAAGTGGTGTTTGAGGCAGTTCGAATTGTTGCTTAGTGTAAGCTCGCTGTAGTTGTTTTATGTCTGAGTTGCGTTGCATTCGAATTCGAATTCGCATTCGCACCCGCTCCTGCTCCTGTTCCTGTTCCACACCTTACAAGTTCTACTCGCATTTCGAGTGACGTTAAGTTTCGTTTGCATTTGTTGTTTGCATATGTTTCTACTAAATCAACATGAAGGTACTGTAAGCAATGAATTTTTTAATACTGTTGCCGCCTTATCGCATTGTCACCCGCTCATTCACACGCATGCTTGTGTGTATGCGCCACATGCAACATTCAGTGGATTAGACGCGTGTGCAGCCCCGCTGTGCATTTCGCTGCTGCAGCTCTCTCCATAGCGTGTCAGTGGCATATTTTAAAATATTTTTGTACACAGCACGCACATAAGTTCAGCTCCATGCTTAACAAGCTCTCAAAAGTTAAACCAAGGGGCCACATGACTGACGGCTGTGGGGCATGCAACGATAGCGGCAAAAATGGCAACGACATCCCTTCAGCGAAAGTAATACAAACGTGCCCCTATGACTGTCGCCAAGTTGCAGCTCAGCTCAGATCAGCTCGGCCCAGCCCAGCCCAGCCCAGCAGAGCCCAGCAGAGCCGAGCAGCTCATCAGCGCGTGAATAAGTGAAAGTGTAATCAACAACAACGTCAGCAGCGGGAACGGGAGCGTGAACGTGAACGTGAGCTTGAGCTGCTCAAGATAACGGGACTGCGCTTCAACTTGAATTAATTTAAAAGTTCTCATCAGCAAGCTAAAGTCGCTGCAAATTTGATGACCAGTTCCAAACTAAATCAGCGTCAGCCTCTGCTACGTGACTGCTGCAGTTGCCCCCGCCTCTCAGCCCCCCTCACCCCCTCGACCAGCCATTCTCGACTAACTGCTCTTAATGCGCTCAATCTCTGACACGAATTGTTCATTTTGTTTCAAATAGCGCAAGTACAAGTAGTATATACTTAGTATATACTTGTTAATATATAAAGCGCATCGAGCAGCGAGTGCCAGGAGCCGTCAATAAGACGGCGACGTATAGTGCGCTCCAAATTATTTTCTATAGCATACTTATGAGCGTATACGCTAGGTTTGTGCACAAAACCGGAAATATAAAGAAAGCACACACAGGAAGAAAACCCCAGATGTGCAGCGTTGCCCAGCAGTATGCCGATATTCTTTTTTGTGCGCAAAGTAGCGCTCTCATATTTTATATTACCAGCAAAAAATGTTATTATAGTTTAAAAAAAAAAAAAAATTACTATATGTTATTGCTATTCCTTGTTCGGCACAAGATTTTCATCGAATGTGACTTCCTATTAAGATCTCTTCAAAAAATTTATAAATTTAAAACAGTATTGGCCCAGAAGAATAACTTTCTTAAAACATAGCCATGACAATAAATAAGCTTCAATCTGCTTGTTTTGATTTGAACTAAAATTTGCTGCAATTAGTTCCCCACGCCTCTGAAAACATTTTCGAAAACTTTTAGCCATAAAGCATCATTTATTGTTGATTTCAACAATGTTTTATTATTTAATAGTATGTATCAGTAGACGGTTGATAGCTCATTTAATTCACTTCTATTCGCATTTGTGTATATTCTTCCTTTTTTCATAAAAACAAAAAAAAAAGTTCGCTATTAAATATTTTTATACATTTTTATATTTAATATTACAATGGACATCAGTTTTTAATAATTCATTAGATCAGAGCAGATAAATTCCAGTAGTTCTGGTTCCAACAAGAATGAACCTCTAAGGACTCCTAAGAACTATAATGCATTTATTGCTTTTTGAATTTCAAAAGTGTTTTATTTAATAGTATCAGTAGACGTTCGGTAAAAATTTCGTTCCCTTTTAATATTAAATATTACATTGGACATCGTTTTCAATAATTCGTTAGATCATGCTCAGTGTAAATAGATTCCAACAAGAATGAACCTCTAAGGACATTCAGTGTAGGACAGTTTTAAAAATGTTGATCATTCTTGCTGATGGACTTATAATAAAATATGCCAGTAAAGGAAGGAAAGGTATTTATCAGTAAGAGCGTTCAATTCGAGTGGTGGTTGCTAATTCGCTGCTGGTGCTTAGACCGCTGTACTGCCGGGTAGTGACAGTTGGATGCAATGCATTCAATAAATAGTCCAGGGTGTAAATATTTCATGGTGTGGCTGTAATTGAAGTCGCACACATTATTGTGGCGTGTGGTCAGGCAAAAGGTAAACAGGGAGTTGTGGCAAAGACAGAGAGACAGGCACTCGGATATACTTGTGTGTGCCCTCGAGCCTTTTAAACATTTCATGGTCATATGTATGTGTATGTGTTTGTGACTGTGACTGTGTGTGTGAGTGTTTGTGCCGAAAATCTCGAGGCAAGTGCTTGCCTGCAAGCTAAATTCCGCTTCATTTATTGATTGAATTTTAAATGAGCCTGTCTTGGTCTATTCTTTCTAGCTTCTGTTGACTTTTGTAATGGGCAATTTTCTGAATGGTTCTCGTAGCACACAACCACACTCTCCACTCTCTCTCTCTCTCTCTCTCTCCCCTCAGCACATCCATAAATTGGCTTTTGTGGGCGGGGCGACCACCACTTCAGATTTCCGTTTGCTCAAGTCGAAGCAGAAAAGGAAAAAAAATAAGCCGAGACCAGCACTGCCTTCACTCATTATTTATGCATAAATATGAAAGACAGCTATGTTTGATTGCGTGTGGGGGGGTTAGGACGGGTGTTGGTCTGAACTGACTTGTACGTCAGAGCAACGCGTTTGTTTATTTATCACAGCACTGCCCAAATTATTTCCAGACTGCTTCTCATTCTTTATTATTGAAGGGCACCGTCAGTTGCTCTTTAATGTGCCATTATTTGTTGCCGAACATATGGCCACGGCAAAGAAAACTGTTCGATTGGAATAACATTTAAATTGTTGCTTGGATTATTTTTCTTACCTTTTAAATTTGTTTGTTTATTTGTTTTTGAACTCTGTAATGTAATGCATTTATTGCCTTTTTAATTTCAATTGCTTGGTTTTCAAATTAATTTGGTGTTTTCTTTTAAAACACTTTGAAATGAATACGCATTGGGAATAGATTACTAATCAGTCTTTATATTCGTACAGATTCTTTGGCAAAATATTCAAGTGGTCTAAGAAATCGTAACTTCTTTGGGTGGAGGGGACCACGAGGTGGTTCCCTTGGCCCGCCAGCCAGCATGGCGTCCTACAATGGTGTGCTGAAGGATTACAGTCATAGCAGTTTGAATGAGGCTTTCAAAACCCAAAACAATGTCAACTTTAAGTTAATTAAAACAGGTGAGTACACAATCAAACCCCCTACTCCTACACATTTATCGAGAGCATCAACTTACAAATCCGCTCGGCACTGGCACAGCTGACGGCTTATCGTTTCTCACAAGACACCTTCAAAACTAAGTCGATCCAAGTCGAAGTCAAACTCGAACTCGAACGTGTGTAGTGGCAGGTGTGCGCGACAAACTTTTGGTGTTTTTTACAAGTGATATACGGGTATATGTATGGGAATGGGGGTAAGAAGTAGCAATCAAAGCAGTTTCGTTTTGTGTCTTCTATTGTTTTATTTGGTAGGTAGGATGAATGGATGGATGGATGGGCTATTGGCTGTGTGCTGCCGTTTATCGGTTTATGGCTTATTGATTTTTATCACATTTCCCTTGTCTTCCGATTTACATTGATGTCCCGTTATTGAGCCATAAATCTATTGAATTCATGTGCCCAGGAGACAATAAATTCCAACAGCTGCACACACAAACATAACAATATACTAAAAGTCGTGTATCCAAGCGCTCGCCTCTATCTGGGTAACAATAAATATTTGCCATTCCAGTGCCTACCGGCTGGCACATCAAAGGCCGACGACTCTGTAGCAACTGTGGCGTTTCTCAATACGATTATGTCAACGTATATCACTTCATTGCGGCTGACTTGTCTCCATTTCTTATTCGGTGTTTATTTTTTTATTTTTATTTTTTGTGCTCGCACAGATGTTACAGAAGAGTTCTGTAAACTCGTTAACACGCAAGTCGAGCGGCAAACGGTTGGTCATCATTTGAGTTGGATGGCAGGGAAATGGTAGAACCAACTGCCACAAAAATTCACAACAACATGGCATAACTTTGTTTAGTGCTGCCACAGAGAACGTGGCCATCTCTCCACTCTCCACTCCAGCCATCCATTTTATCTTCGGGGTATATGGGAGTACGTGTTGGTAGATGCTGGCCTTGAAGCCTTGTCACAAAAATATACGAAATACTCGTGTACGCGAGTTAAAAGTTTTGATTACGTTCCTTTTTCTCTTATTAAAAAATAGTTTTTTTCTTTCGTTCGCACGGCACAGCGAGTGCATATCAGTTGCAGTTGGCCGCGTTTTTAATCCACTTGGGCGGTCCACTGGCATTATCGATTGTAGGCAACGGACCATGAATGAGTCGAAGCCGGCACTGATAATGTGCCCATCAGCAATGGAACGCGTCAAGTTGCGCTCCTCCGTCTTCCCCGAATCCGCTTATATAATTACAATTTTAATTAAGTGCCCACGTCAAGCTGTGACTTAAGACTACCTGTTGCTACGCAAGTATTCGCAATTGACGTGCCATGAGGCTTATGAAAAAGATGAGGCTGAAATTCAAAGTGAAAAGAAAGTAAAACATTTTAAATAAACATAAATTTGGCATCACGGAGCAGGCAGGCGGACCTGTTTGCTTTTATTGGTTTAGGGCTTCTCATGTTGACGCGCGCTTTCATTCATTTTATATTAAGTATACGCGGTGTGCGCCTTTCAGGCGAAGGAATGCAAAGTAAAGCAAAATAAAGCAAAGCGTAACATTCTGTTATTTACCTGCCTTTGAATTATGTGTGCGACTGCACTGCACTTCAGATATTTTCAACTGCTCCAAAGCCAAAGCAAATGAAAGGCATTTAGCGTTGGGGGGAAGTGCTCGGCGGTTTCAAAAGCACGGCATTTGGCTTCCACTAACGAGTTACAGCTCTTCGCATTTCCTGAAACAATCCGTGCCATGAGTGACTGAAAAGCATTTCAGCATTACACGTCCTAAATATTAAGCTGTTTAACAAGCACTTTATCCATCTCTTCCAGTATCCGACTTCACCGAAACACTTTCCCAATTGTATGAGGAACATGCAACTGCCCTACAAACTTTAGTGTCCAATTATCGCAAAAAAAATGCAGAGCTGCGCAAGGAAAGGTAATATGCATATATTTTCCAATTTACATTAAAATATGAACTCTCTTTCGTTTATTTTAATGCCACGCTCGACTGAACTGAATGATAAATAGGCCGGCATGTCATTTGGCCATATTCCAGGCATGGGAAACATTCCTACAGGAAGTTGAATCGGACTCGATAGCATCCAATGATGTCGCCAGCGTGCTCTCTCGCCAGGTGAGTCTTAGTCTCGTCCTCGAATAAGCGTAAATGGCAAATCCATGTACATGTCCACGTCCACGCCCAGTCCATGTCTGCATTATTCACATTAAGCTCTTAATTATTTTGCAATGCAATTTTCCGCAGCCCAAAAATAGATTACCGCAGACATATGCTTAAATTGAATAATGGCCTCCTGCTATATTTTCTCGCCAGTTCCCCATGAATAAGCGAAATTACAAAAGCTACGCATATATAGGGGCTTTTGTGTGGAACTGTTAATACGGGAACAGATATAAACTAACTAATTATAATTAATATCGCTGCGTGAGCGCGTCATGTAACCACAATTTTTTATACTGGTACATAGTATATACATATGTATATAAATATATATACTCGTACATATGTACAAGTATATAAGTGTGCCTGGGGAGCTGTGAGTGTTGTGGGCAGAACTGTTGGTCCTTGAAAAAATTGCATAACACATTCGTTCAGGCAAAGTAATTTTGATTGCTGTTTGCCTTTGTTAGGGCATTCGGTATCAATTTTTATGCTGACTTGCATTCCTGTCGTTAACGACCAAAGGGGAAAAGTGAAAAATTTCGCTCCACTTAATGAACAAGTTTACGGCGAGCGTCTGAGCCTGAAATGACGAGCGTCTGCGCTCGACGTGGCCTCAACTATGGAACACAACCACACACACATACTCGTTTACTGAGGTAGTTACATAAATCTCTCTGAAGTCCCACAGAAACAAACACAAATGTGAAGGGGGCTCCAAACGTTACTATAAATGGCCAGTATTCAAATAAGGGAATGCTTTTAAGCTGTCAAAAGTACATACAAGTATAAAAACAAAACAGAAAAGGATTGACGAGGTAAAAGCCTTTTAGAAAAAGTTTGGCATCAAATCAAAAGTTCAAGTGCAAAGAAAAGTTATCTATGAACAATCAAATAGCTAAGCTTTAACTGGTATACTTGTATAGATAAACTTTTTGATAAGCTACGCAAACAGTGTTCTTAGCCATAGAAATTTCATAAATTCATTATTTTTTATTTATAATTTTTTCACTAATTGGAATTGGAACTTAGAGGATGGTGCATGTCTTAATTATGGCTCGATAAATTTATTCAGTGATATACTGCTGTTGTCTATTACAAGTATTCAGCTAAATTTATTTATAAAACATTTTCATAACATTCTCCTACCATTATTTCTAATTAAAAAGTGGTTTATATTTCAATGTGTGCTAAAAGTATGAAATGAAAGCACTAGAGGTGTAGGTTACATTTCACTTGAAATGTGCGAGGATACGAGCATGTAATTAGAATTGTGAGCATTCAGTTTTCGTTGTTGAAAAAACGTGAATTTAAATGTAAAGTGGAGGTGCGAATGAAACCAAAGACAATGGAATGCCTTGGCAAAAGCTTATATTGAATTGGTAAAATAGTGAAGAAATCTTGTAATGCAAGGCAAACAGCAAAATGAGAATATTAAAAGCACTTTAAAAATGTAGAATAAAATTGGGTTGGCACAAGTTAAATTTTGGCGATATTTTTAGAATTGATTTAATTTTACTTTACTAATATGGCTACGGCAGAGATTTGTAGTGATTTGGAAATTATTTATTAAAAAAAATATATATATAAATAGCAAGATTGTGTTGAGTTCAATTTTTCTACAAGTGTATGAAGCAGACTTGAACCTTTATTTCTTTATCATTTTATTTTCAAATAATCCCTTTCACGGAAACTTAAGCTTTCAATACGATTATTGACTTTGTTGTTCGTTTCTTTCGTTTGTTTGATTTACAGGTGTCGCGACCAATGCTTGACAAATCCTTTCATCGCAAAGTTCAAAGTCGTAAAATATTTACACACAGGGAGTCTTTTGAGACTATTATCGCAAAGACTGAAGAGAAGCTGTCAAAGGTGAGTGGCGTTTTCTAAAATTGGCCTGCTAACAATTACAAACAATTGACATCCAACTTCTGGCAACAACTTGACAATCTTTCGATGCCGAAATGGCGTGCCATTAAAATATTCGAGCACCACGCGTGGCACGGTGTGTGTCTCGTTTGTGAGTTGCCGATGGCAACAATTGTTGCCTGACAAATCGTACCTTTTCACCTTGTTACCCAGTTCAATAGTCTGACGCCTGGACTCAGATCTCATGACTGTTAGGGTTAGGCTTATGTACATGTATATGTAAAATCGGCTTAAGCTGCTTTCTGCTAAGGCCAACGCATCAGGAAAAGATATGCCATCTAAAGAAGAGCCTGTTTATTTATAACGCAATACGCATACGCACTGTTGACACACACACACACACACACACACACACACACACACACACACACACATGCGGAATGCCACAAGTGCAATGTGACCTTAGACAGAAGTGGTCCTTGCGCAATATTTACCTTTGTTATGCGCATAAATTGCCAACTCTGTGGCGTATGGCAGAAAAAAGACTGAAGAGAGAAAGAGTGGGCATTAGTAATAATCCGACTTTGTCTTCTCCCTCCTTACCCTTCGCAGTGTCGCCTGGACTACAAACAATGCCACATCGCACACCGCCAGAATCCCACTCAGCACTCGCTTACCGAATACATCGACGCTCACAATGCGTACGTGCAGCAGCTGCATGCCACAAACGGCATGCTGGAGGCCTACCACGGCGAAACGCTGCCCCAACTAATGCAGGAGCTGGAGGAGATACACAACGACCTCTGCAGCATTGTGGCCGAGTCGCTGATGCAGGGCGCCGACGTTATTGCCAGCAAGGTGAGTTCGAGTTCCGATTGCCAGACCGTGATTTATGATAATGGCGATGGCGATGGCGATGGCGATGGCCCCTGCAATTTGTTGCAACTACAGCAGCAGGTGGTTGTTGTTATTGCTCTGATGTGTGTACTTACTATAAACCCCTATATACTTGTATGTGTGTGTACACTTTTGATTTTCCCGATCATTGTGCGCCTCAGGCTGAAAAGCGCATTGCAGTCAATGCCAATGCGACTGAGTCGATATACAAGTACACGTATAATTTGTTCAAATCCCATACATACTCGCACTACTTGTATATATTCGTATGTGACATAATTGCAAATAATATGAGCTATGCATAATGTGTGGACTATTAATAAAATTGCCACGACTTGAGCAATTATTGCGAGTGCTTCGCTCGCATAACTGCAGGCAAATCGAAATTAATTGAGCCGTTCTGAGGAATTTTTTGATTCAATATTGAATTGAAATATAAAATATAGCAACTGTAGTTTTCTGCAGTTTTCTTCCTAAATCATATTTCAGGCATAATTTTTCATAACTTAAATTTTGTATGAATATTTATAAGATTATTCGATGAAAATATTAAATTTGAAAGGTCGGCTATTATTCTTGAATATTATTCAATATTAAATTAAAATTAAAAATATAGCAACTGCAGTTTTCTTTTGACAAAAGCAAGAAATCACAATTCATGCTTAATTTTTCATAACTTAAATTTTGTACCGATATTCATAAAATTATTCGATGAACATTTTAAATTTGGAAGGTCGGCTATTATTCTTGAATATTATTCAATATTGAATAAAATATATATAAAATATATAAACTGTAGATTTCTTTTGACAAAAACAAGAAATCCTAAATCATATTTCAGGCATAATTTTTCATAACTTAAATTTTGTACCGATATTCATAAAATTATTCGATGAACATTTTAAATTTGGAAGGTCGGCTATTATTCTTGAATATTATTCAATATTGAATAAAAAATATATAAAATATATAAACTGTAGATTTCTTTTGACAAAAACAAGAAATCCTAAATCATATTTCAGGCATAATTTTTCATAACTTAAATTTTGTAAATTTTGAAAATATTAAATTTGAAAGGTCGGCTATTATTCTTGAATATTATTCAATATTAAATTAAAATTAAAAATATAGCAACTGTAGTTTTCTTTTGACAAAAACAAGAATTCCTAAATCATATTTCAGGCATAATTTATCATAACTTAAATTTTGTACCGATATTCATAAAATTATTCGATGAACATTTTAAATTTGGAAGGTTGGCTATTATTCTTGAATAATTCAATATTGAATAAAATATATATGTATAAAATATATAAACTGTAGATTTCTTTTGACAAAAACAAGAAATCCTAAATCATATTTCAGGCATAATTTTTCATAACTTAAATTTTGTACCGATATTCATAAAATTATTTGATGAACATTTTAAATTTGAAAGGTCGGCTATTATTCTTGAATATTATTTAATATTGAATAAAATATATACAAAATATATAAACTGTAGATTTCTTTTGACAAAAATAATAAATCATAAATCACATTTCATGCTTAATTTTTCATAACTACTTGTAAAATATTGTATCAATATTTATTAGATTATTCGATGAAACTTATAAATTTGGAAGGTCGGCTATTATTCTTGAAAAATTAATAAAGTGATTTTTGAGAATATCTTTTAAAGCAAGGATTAAGAATTTCAAATTACTTTCGACATTTGTGTTATAAATGCCAGTTTTTGCCTCAAGAACAAGTCTTTCAAAATTTTCAAATCACTTTTTTTTTTTCATAATTTTCTAAAGAGAACGTGAAAATATTTCTCTAAATCAAAACACATATCCTGCTATATGATGATGATGAATTATGTTAATATTGGCATGTTTCTTTTAAATTATGTTACATATTTCCCGATTCTTTAAACGTAGAAACATTTAATTTTATTTCTCGCAGTACATTTAGGAAAGCTCTGTTCCCTTTCCGAACCTTATTTTATTACATTCGGATATTTTAAAGATTTGTTTTAAAGTTAAGGAATTAAGTGACAGTTTTAAGATAAAAGGTGCCTATTTTGTTCATTTTGAAGCACACAAAAATGAACGATAATATATTGGGCTAGAAGGCACCAGCTTAAGAAAAAGAGCCTATCTTTTTTCTTGTATTTAATGTATAATGTATTTAGTGTGTACGTTTGTATAAATATAAGTTCAGTAGAATGAGACGAATTTAGATTACGACCATCTATTCGTTTGTTTGTTTCAATGACTACTCCTTCCAAAGACCACTCCTTTCATTGCGTCTGTTTGTTTTAAGACATGCTGAAGAAGAAGTTTACTTTCTAGCTGTTTAAATGCAAAATGTTTTAAAAATATGAGATCTTCTAAAAGCCGAATTAAAACATATATGTAATAAGTAAACTCAAAATAGAATCATTTTAAAATTAAATGGCTATTTTCGTAAAATTGTTGATATCTTAAGTACACTGATAAAAAAATGCAACGAAATTTAAATATTTACACGTAGATTTAACTATTTTTACCATCGATTTTTCACTACAGTGTGTTTTAGTAAATATGAAGTGTGCACACTTAATTTTTTAATTTAATATATTCGTAGTAAATTTGAAGTGCTGGACTATTTAATCTAAAGTGTTGACATATTCAAATTAAAATGTAAACATATTAATTATGAATACTGTCATATTCAAATATTTACTATTTTCATATTTAATTTTAGATGTGAACATATTAAAATCCAAATGTGAACATATTAAGATCCAAATGTTAAAATAGTAATTATGAATATGATTCATATTCAATATTAACTATTTTCATTTTAGATTTTAATATTTTTAATATTTGATTCAAAGTGTTCCCATAGTCAAATTAAACAATTTCATATTAAGAATAAATTATCGATTTATTTACTATCGATAATCGAATTTTTATTTTAATTCAAACTCAATTAATTTTTAGAGTACATGATAATAATAGTAATAACAATAATAGAATTTAAATAGATCTATATTTTACATAGCTTTTACCGTTGTTATTCAAATATACATGCAATGGGTGGCTTGTAAAATATTCTATATCCTTAATAATTAATGTTCGATCTTTGTGGCCAACTTCATAAGCTTGCATATGTTTACAAAATCGTTCAACTTTTATTTCATTACAAGCAGCGTAGATTTGAGCTTCTTCATAAAAAAAGAAAAGCAACTTAAACAATTTGATATTATTTTCGTTATTCCCTAAATAATAGTTTTTTTTATACAAAACTCCTTTAAATTCTAAATTTTCACAATATTTTAAGTGATTGGACTTAAACAATTTTGAATAGCATACATTTTCCAAACATTGTATGTCTGTTATAGATTTGTCTGTAAAGCTATACTTATCAAATAATGGTGGAATACCTGACTCATAACTTAGCAAGATGAAAAATGAAGGCACTGTTTTATAGCTACCGATCGACATTCATTTTTTCTCGATGTAATTGAAGCTAAATATGCTTTAGATGCTCTATGTTTTGCCTCAAACCGCATAACCCATGCATATTTCAAAGGCCCGCATTTTAAAATAGCTGTAGGGTAATGCACGAGAAAATGGTGTTTAGGTTTTAGCGTAGGTCCATACAAATTCACATATAGCTCATGGTGCACTTTTATTTTTGTTTCTAAGTTTTTTAAATCTTTTGTTGTAAATTTATTTTGAAACAGAATGTCAATAATTTCCAAAAGTTTTGTAAATAAAATCCAATGCTGAATACTTTCTGGAATCAGATCTCCGATTATTAAAGGCAAAAACTTAGCGAAACAAAATTTTTCACTAGCTGTCATTCTAAGTTCATTTTTCTTAAGTTTAGTTAATTCTAGCGGTCGTGACGAGTTCTTTATTTCTATTTCGCCATAAGAAAACAGATTTTTTCTACTGTTAATTGTTGATAAACATACAATTTTTTCATTAATTAAAGCGTTTAAGGTTTGACAAATACCGTAAACACATACGCCTTCTAAAACATCATGCATCAAATCAAAATAAAAGTTTTCTGTTACGTGGAAGTTTTTTAGTTCGTTGAATATACAAACAGTTTTAATACCAGTCTCTAAAAAATTATTTGCTTCCAAATCATTTTCATAACAATTTTTATCTCTTAAATACTCTTTGTGCTCTTCACTGTCTGATTTCATTTCTAAGCTACTTCTTTTACACACTCGACAAAATCGCTTAGCCTTAAATGATTGAACAAAACCAAATATAGAATTCAATCCTAAGTTATCTCCTAAAATAAGGCCTAAAACAAAATATATTTGTTTTGATCCTTCAGGTATTTGTATTTCAATTCCATTTTCTAATTCTTCAAGCTCACGAAATAAGTGGTTAAAAATGATTTCATGGTCATTTCTTTTCAATGCATGTGATGGAATATATGCAAACGGGAAAATGAAATCTAATTTGGATAATAAATGCTGAGGCAAGGTTGGAAATGAATAATAGCAGCCACATATAGAAGATACATGAGCTCCTAAAGCATTGTTTATTTGAAAGTCATCAAAATACAGAAAAAATGTAATCACAATGTCATCAGGAAGAAAATTCTGCAGTTTGTTTGCAAATGTTTCAGAATTTACAAAGTTAATAAGGTTACCTTGATTTTGAAGTAATTTTTTATTTTGAAGTGTTAGATTCAAAACATTAGGAAGTTCAAAAAATGATTTAATTTGAAATTTTATAGGCATAATATGGATATCTATTTTATTCGGGAAAAGAGATGCATTTCCTTTTTTAAATTTAGGGCCGATTTTATTTGATACAGTAAATGACTTGGGATCTTCAAATAAATGCATTTCTTTTAAAAATTTAAAAAGCCGGTATTCCGATTTTATTTCCTCAAACGGGCTGGTTAAAAAGGAAGTAATGCATTCGAGTGCTTCTTTAGTTTCAGAATTGCATGCGCTGTAATAATTGAGAGCTTTGGAGATAGGCGAAACCAATTTAGTTATCAGGTATTGAATAGCAGTTACTTCATTTCTAGGCATGAAACATTTAGAATGCAGCCCAAGTGTTAATTGAAGACATTTTTTTTTTAGATCTGTTATATATTCCTGGATATTAAAACTGTCGTCTAAATCAAAACTATTATATTTTACTAAACAGGCTTTTTCAATTTGTATTTCATGTGAATGGAAATCCGGGTTAACCATATTTTGAGAAACAAAATCTTCATAAAAGGAGTCACCAATCGCATTTTCATGTGTCTTACATAAATGTTTTCTAAATATACAATATTTCAAAAATAATTGATTGCAATTGTTAATTTTGCATTGTAACGGGTCACAGAACCCAGGCTTTTTTAAAACATGATCATTTTGTAAATGATGGATTAATAAATCCGCAGTGTTAAATTTTTTGTTACATCGAAAGCATGGAAACATTTTTACAGCAATGTTTTATTTTCACTTTCTCATAAAACTTAATAAAGCAGTTAAGTTTGCAGACTTTACATCATAAGGCGTGTCAATTTCATAAAAGTATTTTTGTATGAATAGCCATGGAAACTTCGAAGCTATTGGATAATGCAGATTTAGGGTGTTAAAAAGTTTGAAGCAAACATCCAAACAATCAATAAATGAATCTAATTTGTATATTGTTTTATCAAAGTATACAAAGAACGACTTTATATCGTTGGAGTTCACGCCTTCCACAATGATAAAAGGTTGAAGTGTATTTGAATTACCGTAATTTTTGCAAATAAGATTGTTTACTTTACGCTCGTAGTCCCCAATTGTATCCAAACGAAGCACGAGACTTTCCTGTGAGTCCAATAAAGTTACCCGTGTTCTTGAAGTCTTTGATTTAGATGAATGCCAACTGTTAGAAGGTAAGACCGACGGTAGAAGAGCTGTTATTATGTAGTCCGAAGAATCTAAAATATCAGTGAAATATATTTTTAATTGTAATCAATAATTCAAGCACAGCAATAATATATAAAATTACCAATAGATTCCGCCGACTGAACTTGTTCCAATAAATGTTTACATGTAGCATTGTGAATATTTTCCTTATAGTATATAACTATTTTCTTTTTAAAATTATCCCATTTAGATAATAAAATAGATTCTTTTCCTGGATACGCAATTGTAAAATCAAGCTTGATCTGCAAAACATAATTTAAAAAAAAAACTTCAATGATTTACGTATAAAATAATCTTGTAAATGTTGGATGATTTCAAAAAATGTAATATGGGTAAAGCTGAAGTTAAAAAGCTCAAATAAAACTAAAAATATAACTGAAGAACTAAACATTTGGAAGGCCTGGAATCTTACCAAATCCACTGCACGAGAATCGGTATACTTCGGCCATTCTTGCAAAAATTCGCATGCATTCAAGGTTTGGGATTCTTTACGACGCAATTCATAAGTTTTTGACCACTTATCAAGTACTGCATTCCAATCCGAAACTTCTCTCTTCAAGGCAGTCTTCAATGCATTATGAAGTGTTTCATCAACAGGATCCTGAAATGTGTCTGCTTCACTGCTATTAAGTGATTCCTCTTCTATTCTGCTAAACTTCGCGCATAACCTAAAATCAAACAATTAATAAATACTAATTACACCAAGTTATTATTCAGCATTTATTATGCGTACATACATATGTATACACATATTCAAAGGTTAAGCAGTAAATAGCACAACCACGTTTGTGCATGGTTACATGCTAAATAAATGATCACATTTTGCATTGCCTACACACGCATACATACTCGTATTAATGTACGTATGTTCAATTATAAGTACATATATTTTTAGGAATTTATAAAAAAATGAATTATTTGAAGACTTATAATGTGAGTCAATTAAGCATGTACAGCAGTTATTAATTGCCAATATATGTATGTAAATACATAACTATATGCATATGGTCAAGCGCGTTCATTTTTCACAAAAATCTGTACACTATTGAATGACGCGTCGCTTCTTGCACTGAGACAAAAGAGAAATAGCGATTACGCGGAAAGTACAGATTACCGCGAAAAATAGGTTGCTATGCAGTGGCATGCGTATGAAACTGTATATTTTGTTCTTTTTTTCATATGCATCTACGTACACAATATATGCATATATGTATGTATATACATACATATATATGTACCCAAATAACAACTATATCACACATTTGAAGCTTTACATATTTTAACTTCTTTATTTAGTCACAATTACGACGACATTTACGCTATATGCACATACATATGTTTGTATGTAGGCTACCACGTAATATGTTGTATACAAAATTATGTTTCTTGCGGACACGATGCAAGAAACTATAAATGGCAATTTTGTATGTATGTGTGTACGCGTACAAATATATTATACATATGTAAATGTTCATACTTACGCAGATCAATTTATTCCAACACAATCACTATTTTATTATGTTTTTTTTTTCACTATAATTCAATTAATTACTTTGGCACACGTCCGTCTTTGACAAAAATCAACTCACAATTGACCGACGCGCGTCATAAAGAATATCGATACATATCGCTGTGTGTATGCATTATTTGCGAAAAGAACGCAAAAGAAGAAGAAGAATGCGTGCATTCCGTGCAGTAAAGTGTGTGCTTATTAATATTTCATATGGTTTAACATTAAACTGAATATGACACACTTTAATAACAAAATTTTACACTTTGTTTTGAATATTATTTATATTAAAATCACTAATTAAATATGTTTTTAGTAAAATTTACGATGTTTATATTTGATTGGAATATAAAATAGTAGAAATTTAATTTAATATGAAAATATTCATCTGTACTATGCCACTTTTTTATCAGTGTACGCCTTAGCGCCTAATTGTAGGTTATAATTATGTGATGAGTTTTTTTTGTAGCCAGCTCTATCATTTGGTTGCTTAAAGTTGGAATTAAAATTGGTTGAAAAAATTATAGATTCTGGGTCCAGCACTTACGTTATTAAGACTGAACACCTAGTTTAATTTGTATTTGTATTTATCTATAAGTTTAATTTAAATTATAAATATAACAGTATAATTAAAATGTAACGGTGTTCTAATCGCTCCATTTGGTTGCAGGCCGCAGACCAAGCGAAGCGCTACAGCAGCCTGACCAGCCAGTGCAGCGTTGTATCGCCGGCGCAGGATCTAACGAATTTCGTGCGCATACTGGCGCTGCCCTCACAGGCCCAGAAAGTTCCTAGACGAGTCTTTGCGCCACCCCAAGCACAGCAGGGCGAACCGGATGAGACGAATGAGTACAGCGTAAGTAGAAATGTTTGACATGTGCCAAGAGCACGATGAACGCAAATGTAAATTTCTTACCTTGTCATCCTTGCCATCCTTGCCATCTCTCGCCAGGAGGTGACCCCCAGCTTGCGCAACGAGCTCGTCTTTGACCGGCACTCCACGCTGTCGCAGCGCTCCGCTTTGGAGTCGCTAAAACGTGAGTCAATCGAATTGGAATTGCAAATACGTCAGCTGCAGGTACGTCTCTCGCCAATTGACTAAGTGGACAGACAGACAGACAGACTATCGAACAGTCCCACTATTAGAAATGTGTGTTGTATGCATAAGTTTGTTTCCTTCTTGACGCTGCAGGACTCCATTGAGGCACTGAATCGCACACAGACGCGTGGAATTGAGGGGCAACTGTACAACAAGGTGAATGAATTGCAGGAGGATTTATCGATGAAGAAGTTCGATTTGCGCGCCAAGACAATACATTTGGCTGCTATACGTGCACAGGTGAGTTCTGGTGTGGTGAAAAGCTTTCAGTTTCCTATTTTCATAGCCAATTCACAAGCCTTTAAAAAGCTCAAGAGCTTTGCAAGTTCCGACGAGCTTCCTTGTAGCACCTGTTGATTTTAACAATTGTGATTGTGTTTGGCCTTGAAGCTTTTAAGTAGAAACGAGATTGAATTTGAGGTTTTTAGTTTGGGTTTCTAGTGTTACGAATCTGGCTATTATTACGAAAAATAAAACCGTTAGGCAATGATGCTGTGGAATATTATGCGTTTGCCTTCAAGGCAGGCTGTTAGGCTGTTCCCACAACACTGTCCTACATACAGTCCGGTGCACGTGAACTGGCGCTCGTATGTAGGTCAAACAGCTGTGAGTTTCGTATTAACTGGCAGTCGCTCCACGTTGCGCCGTGTGCGCATGTGACCAAAACGAAATCCTTGTGCTGGCTGCGGAGCACATGGACCCGCTCACCGACACACACACACACACATACAGAGTTCAACTGGCCACAACTCCGGATGCCGTCGCTAGGTTAGTTCTGTGGTAGACGAGCGAGCGACGTGTGGGTTAGTGCGGACGTAAAAACTGTTTGATTTTAGGCGTGAGACTCGTGCTCAAGTAAACCCCAGCATCCACGAACACGTGTGGAGTCCCACTTCGGAGTAGTGGCGACCACACAAATTTGTTGTTGTGATTCAAATTCGATTTGACATTAAAGACTTGCTGATTGATGCATTGCTTCAAAATCGTCAATCCAGCCTGAAGGCAGTGGCGCGTGTGTTGAATTTCGCTGCCTCCCCTCTACCCAACCTAGGGAGCTGTTGCTTGTGCTGCTGCTGGCTGTGTGTGTGGTGTGAGTTGTCAATACACGTATTGGGAAAAGCCCGCTTCATTCACAAATAAGAACCCAACACAGCAGCAATAACTTTACTCTCAATGCCAGCTGTTCGTTTGGGAGCACAAATGAGCGGGAGAGCGCCTTAAGCTATGTGGCACTACTACTACTACTAATACTACTTATCGAGTGAGTGAGTGAGCGTGTGCGGAGTGCAAGTGCATGCGCAGCGTTGCCAGACGGTTCTGTTAGTGCTGCTGCAGCCAGTTCTGTTTATAAAAGCAACGTGCAACGCTCGTTCGCAATCAGTCACGTGCTTGAACTCCGACGTACTAGTACTTGGTACGCACGCTGCGCTGCAACATTCTAAATACTGCCATTGTTGTTATTGTTATTGTTGTTGGGTGATCCTACCCTACGTTCGACAAATTAGTAAACCGTCGTCTTTGCCGTTATCGTTGTCGCTGTGGCTTTCGCTTTCGCTGTCGTTAACGCTATCGTCGCGTCGCGTCGCTGTCGCTGTCGACACCGCAGTTGCCATCGTTGCCGTCTGATTGGCTGCCGTGAAACTGCATGTGAATGAATGCGATGCTGCCGCTGCTGAACTCCGGAGAAAGGAAACGGAAACGAACTTAACAAATTGCTGGCATAGTCCGAATAATTGCGCTATTTGTATATTTATGTATACATTACGAATATAATTTGCTTTTAGCACTCAAAAAGGCGTTGTCTCTGGCAGTTATTTTGTTGCAACATTGTTGCAAAGAAAACACTACTATGTACATTAGTTGCAAACAACCTACTCACACATAATAAGCGAACATTTCAAGAGGCAGGCAAGCAGTTGGAAAGCTTTTTTTTAGGTTTTCCGAAGCGATTTCCCCATGAGTTTTCAAAGATAAATGCAATAAAAAGAAAACATAGCAAAATATACATACATATATTGATTTGACCGACCGTAAGTAAAGCATAATTGATAACTGATGATTCACTAATGAATGCAACTACTCGAAATATTGCAAATATGAACGAGCGGCGGTTGCAGCCATGTAAATTGTAATTTAGTTCTACAAATTTAAACACGTATACGCACCGTACGCCGTATATGACACGCTATCAAATATGCTATCCAATTAAAATTGCTAGTGAAACTTTCATTACTATCCTTCGCATTACTCTGCCTGCTTTTAGTACCAATTTACTACCAATAAACCATTTAGCCTTAGAGGCAGTCACTCGCTAAAATTTGAAGCAAAAGTCTACACAAAACTTAGTATTATACACTCACTATCTGGCTATTTGGCAAAAACACGCTTGTACAAAATTAGTTCAAAAATTGTATGAAAGAGATGAAAATAATTAAAAATAAATGAATACACATTTTCACCAAAAAAAAAAAAGTACCTGTATATTAAACTGTACTGTACTATATACATAGATATTAGCAGTTGTATATACCTAACATTAATAATTTTTGATAACTTACTTAGAAGTAGGTGAAACAATCGCTAGTGATTCGTTTGCCATACATCGTTCAAACTCAAAATTTGTCAATGTCCTTAATGTGGCACTGAGCCTGAGCTCGCAATCGAAATCAGCATAACGCATAGAGCACAACAACCCACATACACGTACTAGACCATAGCAATACCTAAACGCAATCAAAGGCAAAAATCAACAGCAAATTATAAAACACAAAAAAAGTCAAATAAGACAAAAACCTAACGAGCAGTCTACACATATTTGTGCACCATGCGCGTTATCGTTCTCAAAAAGAATCGCACAAATAAACGCGGCACTCCAACGGCGTCAGCGTCGCGTGAGCTGCCAAAAAAATCGTACGCAAAAGTAAGAAATTCGATATTTGGATTCAATTTTTTGATTCGTTTGATTTCCCGTCGACTGAGCTATTTGTTTATTAATTTCTTTTTCTGTTGTGGCCAAATTGCCAATGCAATCAATTTTTGAGAGATAAATTATTAAAACTCGTACTGAAATGGAAATAAAGTTGGAAATAAATATGCCATCAAATGTAATTAAACTGTATTCGATTACGAAGTAAATCGCTTGTGTGAAAAATTGTTTCAATTTCCAAAGGAAAAGAAAAGCCAACACCTTCAATATTTACCAAGAAATGTAGAATATTAACGTACATATATACATACATATACAAGTATGTTCATACTTAGCCTTGCAGCATGCTTGAGTAGAGCCACGGAGCTGGTGAAAAATAAACATAATTCTGTAGATATGTAATAAGTATACTACTATATATGCATTGCAAATGCAATTCGAATGAACGACTGAACCTATTTGAAATGATCAAAAATTGGTTGTAGCGGTATTAATAATGGCATGACCGATTCTATATATAGATTTTCTTATACATCTATTGCATTTATATTCTAAGACATTAGTTGTAATGCTTAGCAGATATATATACTATGTATATGTACCTAACTAGTGTTAACTTTTAAATATTCCAATGCTTGATCTATTTCTATGCTATAAAACCTATAACACACTGTTTTACACATTTTTTTATAAAGCCAAAGTTGGGAGCAATATAATTTAGCGCCCTAAACGTCCGTAGGCGTGTACAGAACCTCAAATTCCGATGGAGAACCAGTCTGCGCAGACCGCAGTTGTATATAGTAGGATAATACGATGAACCAAAAGTAGACGTCAATACCTAAAAAAGAAAGTCAACATGCTATATTTAAGTGTTTGTTTTGTTTTCTCATAAAACTTACACACACAAATGGCATCCATTACCAAATGTTCGGGTGTCAGATCGACAATAAGTGTATAGAAAAGAAATGAGATGAAGGTTGCAATGCAGATTTGCAGCCAAATCAACAGGCAGACAGGGCGTTTCTACAAAAAATCATTGACTTGTGAATACAAATGATCCCAATGATACATGATACTTACATAGAGAGCGCCAATTAGGAGAAGCAATGAGCTTATAATGGAACTTATGGCCATGCTCATTTCAAATATACCTCTCTGCGTTTCTATATCGATGTTGTGGTTATGTAGCTTCTGTTCTGTGGTCGACTTATGTGTCATGCCATTTATGTCGTGCAGCTCGGAGCGGCTGCAGTAAATCTGAAATAGGCCTAAAGTTGCCTCCAAAACGGCAATGAGAATGCAACCTGTCTGAAGACTGAAAAAGTAACAGCAATTCGTCAACGTTTCCATGTCCACAGCTGGTCTCTTTGCGTTCGATTGCCCTTGAAATTTTAAATGTGAATTCAGTTTCAAAAATAATAATTTTGAAATTATAAGCAAAACCATAGTGAGCGACATTGACGTGTTGCGGAATGCCTATACAGTTTGTACTTAGAACTGATTATTATGATGGGCTTTGCCTTTTTTAGCCGACATCAAAACAGAAGGAGGTTAACAATTCGTCTTTATTTTTTGTAATTTTTATGTTTGTTACCCCAGAACATTCGACTGGGTGCATCGATTTTGATGGTTCTTTTGTTATTTGAAAGCTGGTGCTTCCCAAATGGTCCCATTTTTGGATCCCATTTGGTCCAGTTCTGACAATGGCATCCATGAGGAGACCATAGAAGTCGTAAGTTTAAAAAAAGTATGTGCGCGACAAATAGACAAATAACTGAATATTACGCCAACAGATTTCGATGATTCTTCTTTTATTGGAAACGATGTACTTCCAGGGTATTTTGGGGAGAGTTTGGTTATGTTCTGCAAAGGAGAACATTCTCAATTCGACTGTATTTTTGACTGTTTCCTCATAACTTTCGATTGGATGAACCGATTTGGATGATTCATATATTTGAAAGCTGATGCTTACCGTATGGTCCCATTTCAGTTCTGTCTAGATCTGATAATGGCATTTATGAGAAAAATATCTTAAGCATACCTCACTTAGTTTAAATAGCTGAAAATTCAATTCCTGCACTGGATGCTGTTACTTCAGAATCATACTTGAGTGACTGGAATAATCCGATTTATTGTGATTTCAAACGTTCAGCATTCAGTATTTAATTTGCAAATTTTGTATCATCTCCAGCATTTCCCATCATATCGTTTGCCAATAAAAATGATAGCCATTGTAAGTAATTTTTTTCAAATGTTTGCTCTCCACTACAAATAGAGATGAAAATTGCACAAATTACCGCCCTTGTGGAACTTCAGAGTTGGGAGTTCATATTCAACTCATTACCATTGCAATATCTCTCAGCATTGTGGGTCGTCCACTCAATACGGAGCCACTCTATTTTCGATTAAGTGCTGCGCCCGGCGCTTTTCATGGCAATTTCCTATTCCAAATTAAGTGTACAACAAAATCCAATTTGATTTATTCGTTTGTTGGCGCGAGAAGGGCAGCGAAATAAAGAAAATCTAAAACAATTCAATTTCAAAATGCGGCGCACCGCGCCTTTGCCTTTGCCTTTTCCCTTGCCTTTGCCTTTGCGCTCATCACCAGTCCATTCCATCCTTCGTCCAAACTGACTTTTGCAACTCAGCTCAGCCAATTCGTACAATCAGTTGCCCATGAGCGAAATTCTCTCACTGATTTCCTTTTAAGCGCATTTTCCGACTGGTCTTGACTTAAACGAACACTTGAACTTCTTGTCGTCTTCGAATTGGGCTGGCAGGCTTCTCCGACTTTTGTTGTACTTTCGCTTAAGAGCTCCTAAGGCGAATTTGTTTCTATGTGTTTTTCTATGTGCGAGCATCTTATTTATTGTTGTTTGGCGTGGCAATCGCGTTCCTTCTTGCTGCTTCATTGAGCACTTACTGCCGAGTTCTGGCACTGGCTGACAGCCATTCGAAGGACACACTTTGTCGCAGAAACAGCGTGAAATGCCTCAAATGATTTCATTTAAATTACCGTCCGCTAAGTCTATTTCCATTCAATTAAGATTTTAATTAAATTAATGCATTTCCATACGCATGCTATGCTGTTAGCTACAAACCCAACTGCAACTTATGGGAGAAATATAGTTTTAATATAATAATAACACCACAAAAGAGCATATTTTAATGAAATTCGTAATTCCCTTTTTTTTTGGAAAAGATTAGAAGAAAGTATCAGAAAGTAAAGTTAAAGTATTCTTTGCTAAAATAAATCATATTTCTAATAACAGTGAAAAGCAATATTTATATTAATTTAAAGTAACATCACATTCTGATCTCTGTAAATTTTGTTTTGTTAACCTTTACCATCATTCCACTTGCATTTTAAATGATTCCCATAATAAGTATTTGGAACTTCGAAATGTGGAATCTTTAAGAGAAGAGTTCTTCCTCTTAGGGGCTTACCAGAAACTAAAAGTGACTTGCACGCACTGTCTTTTCTAGCGAGTATACTCGAAACAAAATCAAGTATACGCCACATACGCCACAATGCATTAGGCCGGTTTCATACGACATTATATATTAGCCAAAGACTATCCTGTGCCTTGCTTGTATTGCAGCCACTTCTTGTGTAAGTGGTATGGAGCCTTGTGGCCATTGCTTTGTCTTGGTGATATAAAAAAAAGGTGTGCCTTGCTCCATAATACTTGCACTACTTGTAATTCCACGGGATAGACAGTCCGCAGGATGTCTGGCTAAAGCCACATGCCTCCATTTTAGCGGTGTTGACAGGGTTTCTATTTGCCACAAAGGGTCGAAACAATGAGACTTATTCGGCTCCTTTGGAGGCATCCACAAAAATATGGAACTGCTTTGTAGATACAACTTGGCAACGAAATGTTGATTGTCGGCAGGTCTTCTTGCCACTATGTAAGTTCAAAGCCGTTGCAAAAAAACCCAATGGTTCAAATATTCCAGCAATTTCGAAGTATAGTATTCGTTTAGTAGGTTCCACTGTATTTGTTTTCTAGTTATGAAGCTCGTCCTGCGGTCTGTTCCATATCACTCTTAATGTTTTGAGTGTAGCATTAAACGAGACAACGAGTTCCAAGTATGATCGTAAGGCCTATAATCTTTCTCCACAATTTCTGATTTAATCAGATTTTTACAAAGCACTTCCAGTCTGGATTGTTCATATACATAAAATGTGAGGAATTAGGCCTTACCGTCTTGTTTCTACATATCATCTAAATTGTAAGAAATTATTGCTAATTTTACAATTAATCAAGTGACAATGATTCATAATATACTTACCACTAGATTTGAGCAGACTTTGACGTTCATAACGTGATGTTTCTACCATTTCTCTCAGGGCTTCATATTTTTTTGAAACATTTTTGCATTCAAATTAGTTCTCCATTGCCGGTCATTGTTGTCTTCGCTCGAATAATTCGTTTGAATCTGTAAAGTGCCAAATAATAACAATTGTACAGAATAAGTTTGAGTTTTAATTTAAAACTTTTCTGAATTTGCATCACATTTTAAGTGAAGTCGATTTAATTTCGGATGAATTGTCAAATACTTGGGCTGACATTTTCCATAAATTTTGTTAAGTGCATAATTGAATGGACTTTTTAATTGAGCATATTCATTTCGAGTGCGCTGCGAGCATTTCATGACATGCTTTTAGGCCTACTTATGGCTGGCATTGTGTTGGAGCTGCCTTTATGGGACCGCAATTCCTTTGGCCTTGTTCGTGGTAGATTGATGTGTGTCTTCCGCATTGTTTTGCTTCCACAAACGGTTAAGGTCGCCAGCTATGCGTCAAAGGGTTAATTTTAAATTTATTGCTATGTCCTTCACACACACACACACACACACACACACACACACACACATGCACGCACACAGATACATACTCGTATGTATTCCCAAATCCTTGCCGAGGGATTGCGTGGGCCTGCCGAAAGCTTTGTGGGTAAGTTGGGAATGAAGAACAACAATTTTCAGATTTTCCTCAAAAAACAAGTAAGCCTCGTGCAAGTCAGAACTTATGCAGGATATATATGTGTGTGTGCGTATGTGTGGGCTCACTCATGTGTTTGTGGAGCCATTTCTCTGCGGCCGGCGCTTCTTACCGCTTGACATGTTATCTAGGCTTGGCATTGAGACCTTCCGCAACACGACGCCCATTGTTCCAATGCCATGTCAGATCACACTTTATTTTATTACTTTAATAAATATGAAATGCGTGTGTGTGTGTGTGTGTGTGAGTACCATAGTGTGGCAGATTCCGCGTAGAGTCGAGTGTTCGCTCAATTAGTGGGCCGGCTGTTACCTTTACAATGACGGCCCTCTTTAATCTGCATCAGAATCGTTATGTGCGTTTGGTCTATTGCTGGCTCAGCTGTCGGGCCATAACTTCATTGATGTGACCCGCAAGGAGTCCGCACATATCAGTCGGCATTATTGGGCTGCGCATAAATTTTAATTAATCATAAAATGTGCGCATAAAAATTCCACAGGCCCCACGTCCTTTTTTCTAGCTGCGCGCTGGAATTCATATTCGTGTTTAATAATAAATCACAAGGCGCAGCCAGCCAGAAAGCGCAGAGCTCAGAGTACAGAGCACAGAGCAGAGAGCAGAGTCCTGGCAACCAGGACCGTAGAGCCGCCTGGCAACCACAGCAAAGTCTGCAATTCATTTTGTGCCAAGACGTGGACACAAACGTGAATACCGGAGTGGTGAGCGTTGCTTGCGGTATGCAGAGGAGTGCGCATTGCTTGATTTTCATTAGCTTTTGACACACACACACACATACACACACCACCATATATATAGTATGTATACACGGCAACGAGTTGAATGGCTCAACGTGAAGAAAAGCTGCAAAAACGGCACCATAAAAGGATTTGCCGCAGAAGAAATTTAATTAAAGACATCAACGCCATCGCACACAATGCTCGGACGGTCTCTACTCAGATCTTGGGGCTTTTACCAAATGCCAGATGCCACATGCCAGTGCCTCTTCTTCTTGCTATTGTTGTCTGTGGCATGCTAATGCAGAGCCCTTTCTGCCTACATTTAATTGAAGAAACTCATTTTAAAGCCGGCTCTATCTCTATCTTTGATTTGCAGTGTAAGTATCTGTGGCTGATCAGCATCATCCATCTATAGTATTTAGCCGTGTCTCTATTGCCAATTAATCACGCAGCTCAGTCAGCCAATGCAGTTCCTACTTTCGCTTTATTGTTGTGCATTATTGTTTGCTTTCATGTCACGTCATGTCTTTGTTGTGGCTCTGACAAAATAGTTCTGCGCAGTGCATTTTATCAGACGGATGTATGCTTCGATTCGCTGACTGAATGAACATTTCGATCGATTTGGCTACGTTTACATAATTAACACAGTATTGCCGCGCATTTGTG